ATTTAGAAAAGGCGTACGACCGGGTGAACAGGACGTACGTCTTAACTACCTTGCGTCATGCGGGATTCGACAATAACTTATGTAAATGGGTGGTTGCTCTGTACTCCTTGTCTACGGCTTCAGTGTTAGTAAATGGTTTTGTTTCCTCTCTCTTTCCTCTAACTAGGTCACTTCGACAGGGTTGCCCTTTGGCACCCCTCCTATTTGTCATTCAAATGAAGAACCTGTTACATAACGTCCGTTATAATTCACACATCAAAGGGTTAGACATAGACTTCTCCCAATGCAAAGTCAAAGCATTGGCAGATGATCTTTTTGCTATATCCAAGAATTCTCTGACATCGATGAACACATTGAAAATGTGTTTGGATGAGTCTTCTGAATTGTCTAAGGCCTCATTCAATTGGGCCGAATCTGTATTTTTCCTACCTAGTACTTTCTCTCCGACCACAAATTGGGGAATGAAACACATCGAGTCTGATCGGTCCGAACATTTTTTGGGGGTACAAGTGTCCGTTTAATTCGTAGAAGGGCGGCCAAGTTTATCTAGAAGCCATACGCTGCTGATGACCAGGGTTTTATGTCAAAAGTCCAATGAGACCTATTATGCTTCCCAAAAGAGGAAGGAAGGCTAGGCTTGATTGACCCCTTACACAAGAGTACAACGATGTTAGCAAGATGGGTTGTCCAAGGAATCTGCTCATCAGACGAGTCGCACTGGATTGCGTTAGCTGAAATTATCCTGGCAAGAGAGTGAAATTTGCCTCGACCATCCGATGTTTGGACTTGCTTCCTATTGATTTCATATCAGAACTGTTGAATCGAATCCGACTTCTGGAAAGCAGTGATGCAGGCTTGGAAACGGGTTAAACCGAACTCTTGGGCGAACCCATCAACCAAAGCCGAGATCCTCCTTTAGCCTCTGTTCGAGAATCCTCAAATTCGAAAATCGAACGATAACCGGTTTTCCGCAGACTCCTCCCGCAGCAGTTTGGGGAGGAGTTGGATTGAAAAACAAGTGCTAAGAATCGAGGACATCTGGAATACTGTCGAAGGACGATGGATGACCCCCGCGGAACTGAGAGAACAACTGGGTCAGATATGGTACGTAGAGGAGAGATTAACATAGTTAATTCAAGCTATTCCTTTACAATGGAGGTTTGTACTAAGCCCAGAGGGAGTTGACCCCCCCGACACATGGTATATATCCCGCTCCATTGAGTCTGGCACTACCTTTTGGAAATTGATGGGGTTCGGGTCAAAATGGAAAAAGGGAGTTCCAACAATGGGAAGGGTACAATCCAGATAACCCAAAGAGTTTGTGTCAATTAAAAGAAAAATCTCATCCGCCACTGGACTGTACCTTAACTCAGGTTCGAGTCTGGGAAACATGCGACGAGGATGGGAGTTGGGACTGTCAGGTGTTTGTAGGAGGAATAGCAATACAGGATCTAAAACTAGATCCCAAGATGTGTGGTTGGGGAGGAGAAGGAAAGGGAGGGGATGACCTCCCACTCCTCCTCTATTCTGTACAATTGGGATATGCTTCCCAAACGTCGCCCCGCAAACCCTTGCATGTTGCGGTTGCCCGGTGGAGTCAAGTCCTAGACAAAGATTGTCAATTTATAGAGAGTGCGGTGTCTCGCTGCTGGCAACAGCTGGCACTGGCTCCATACCCTCGTTTAGTCGTGAATCTTTGGCTACTGTCACTATTGGTCACCCCTTCAGCAGTAAATTTGGCCCAACGTGGTTTAAAGGTTGACTTGACATGTAAGAGGTGTAATTGGGCTTTTGAACCAACCACTCATTTATGGTACGATTACCCAGCGACTTTCAGAATTTGGAAGTGGTGGGAGTCCTTTTGGGTTGGTGTTTCAGGCAATTGCCTATCGTGGAGTCGGGACTGGGTTTTGTTGGGAGATCTGCCCGATAACCTTGAGTTGAACAAAGGGTGAGGCTATATCGCCCAAGTCGCTCGAGTTGTTGGTTGCGATATTATTTGGAAAGGCAGAAACATGCAATTGCTCGACGGTATTGAAATGTCCAACAAGGAAATCAGGGCCTCCTTCAGAGGCCCTCTTCGACGCACTATTTAGGCAAATTGGAAGAGGAAAAGGAGGAGCAATAATGAGACTTGGTTTGGAGCAACATGGGGACTGGAAGGTAAGTTGGCGAGATTGGAAGATGGTAAGCTGGTTCTATCTGACTGGTTCTGGGCTAAGTAGATAATGATGGGAGTAGCTAGTATTGGGATGGTGAGGAGTTTGAACCTGGGGTGCTCGGTTCTCTTATCCACAGGAGAATGGCGGGGGGACTTGAGGAGGGAGGAGGGAGTGCTCATGCAATTTCCCTGTCCATTTGGTCCGGGCTGTCGACTTTTAGACAGTCGTGATCATGACTTGTTGCGTAGTAGTTAGTTGTGAATTGTTGGGAGTTGTGGCTTGTAGCTTCGTTCTCTTGTGGTTTCTGGCTTGTTTGGTTTTTGGCCTGTGGCAGTTTTGTTTCAGGGGTAGGAATTTCAGGACAGCGGTCTAGATTTGGCCATTCTGTTCCTAGATCTTTTTCGACCTCTTTTGGGTTTTATCAGTGAAGAGTTGTTGACTCTGCTTGGAGTCTGCAGCCGTAAGGCTGTAAGCGAAACCGGCTGATGCTGCCAGAATAACTCCGGGTTGAATTATTATTATTATTATTATTATTTTTTTTTTAAAGGGCGATGGCCTTGAGGTGTTATCATCGGACTAACCAGCCAAGGTAAATTCAATCTTGTGTCTAATCTGACAACGGTGGCTTGATAGCCTTCAGGGAACCCCCAACGGGGGACACTGGCCAAGGGACAGCCGGTGGCAGAGGGACCGAGCATCATCTGAGTGGCCAGTCGCTGTGCCTCCCCGATTACCCCTCCCCTTATGAACATCATCAGAGACTGCTTTTTAATGCCAATTGGGGGGACCAACGAGATATCTCCAGGTGGCGGGCGCCAAGCATGCCCAGGAAGGTACATGAGGCCAATGGGGATTGAACCCAAGACCTCCTGAATGCCACTTGCGTGCCTTACCAACTGAGACAGGCCGCTGGATCGGGTTGAATTGTGAGGTCCCCGACCTCCCCTTCTTTTGGGAAAAAAAAAATAAAAAAATAAAATAAAAAATGCAGAAAAAACCCGTTTTTGTTTTTAAGATTTTTCCCGGCAGATGTATCCTTACAAGTTACAACAAAGACCGTCCGGGAAAGGGGTATTTTGAAATAATACAGGGGTATTTTTGAAATAAAAAAGTGTATACGAGCTATTATGCTATTTCTGTCATGAAAGCATGGTATTGTTGCCATCAAAAAGGAAACTTTTTGCCATGAAGGTTCGTTGTGAAGGTATATTTGACAAAGTCATATTAGAAAAGGGGTATTTCTGCACTTCTCCCCTTACTACTGTTGAGTCGATTTCGATGTGTTATGGCACGGTGGAGGGGGACAAACATCACGTGGCGCGCGAAGTCGACCGGAGGCCGTTAATTACAGTAATTAATCAGCTGAAGCGGGGGCCGTCTGGCGTCACCGAGTTGTTGAAAGCACTAGCACTTCTCCCTGCAGGAGTGCCTATGGACAAAGGTTGGGGGTATGTGGCTCAATCAGCAAGAGCCATGGTCTTTGCTGTTATCTGGCAATGTAGAAATGACAGGGTCTTTGACAACAGGGAATGGTCCAATAAGCAAATCCGTCAGGTCTTCAATCTTCACCTCAGACGGGCCATTCAAGCAGATTGGAGGCGTAAGGTGGCCTCAAAGTCCTTTTCCCTGTCAGGGATCCTTTGGTTCAAGCAGACCTGGGCTCTCAGTGGCAAACTGTGCAGAGTGGAGGAGAACAATCGCCTGTGTTTGGACTCTTGGCTTTTTCAGGATGAAGCTCAGAACTGCACTATGGTACAAGGTAGGCGGTAACGGCCGATGATTGATGTGTAATTTCGTCTTGGCTTTCAGTAAATTGGGGTAGATATTTGGTTAAGTCGGGTGATCGGAAGCGGTAGTTAGGTTAGTTCTTACCTGGACGCTCGGTTGTTCAGTCGCAGTAGGCTGGCAGAGGGATAGTTGAGTGGAGGGAGTGGTCTGTTGGAAGGAGTTGGAGCACGCTCCCCACCGTTGTTAGGTGGTCTCTCCTTCGGTTACCGTGCTACTGGGATGGGTGTTCTCGTAGATTAGATGGATCGTTAGTAGTGTGATAGGGTCTTAGGCTAGGTTGGTTTATTTGTTTCTTTGTTGGGTTGATGATTTCTAGGTTTGTGTTCGGCTTTTCTGCCATTGGATGTCAGGGCAGCGGTCCTGATTTGGCCATTCTGCTCCTAGACCCCAGTGTCCCAAGGCCTGCACCTAAGCTGGGTAATGGTCCCAGTATCATTGTGTCATCTTTTTCCGGGTTGTATTGTTGAGGTATTCCCGGCCTCGCTTTTATTGGGGAATAATAATGAGCTGAGTTTCTTTGTAGGAAAAAAAAAAAAAAAAAGCACTAGCACTGACTGGATAGGGATAAGGACTTGGTCGCACTAGCACTGATTGGATAGATGGGCGACGTTACTTAACGTAGGAGTAGGGATAAGTACTTGGTCGTGGATGGTGGGCGACGTTACTTAACGTAGTAGTAGGGATAAGTACTTGGTCGTGGATGATGGGCGACGTTACTTAACGTAGTAGAGAAGAAGAGCTGGCGCATCGCGAAGGCTCTGGACCCAGGATCGGCTACAGTAGGCCTTTGGAGTCGCCGATGACGGGCGAGAGGGAAGAGAGAGAGAGAGAGAGAGAGAGAGAGAGAGAGAGAGAGAGAGAGAGAGAGAGAGAGAGAGAGAGAGAGAGAGAGAGAGAGAGAGATGGTCTGGCTGGGTGAAGAGGGGTCATGGAACAGACGCCAAATCCCTCCCTCCCCTGGTGAGGCGGTGCAAAAGGGGTTGATTGACTGAGCGAAAGGGCTCTCGAGCACAATCGGAATACACGCCGGTACCTCTCTGTTGATTATGGGCGCTATGGCCGCCGCCCCATCTTGCTCGCTGGATTGATTGGTTGGCTGGCTTGATTGGTTGGCTGAATTAGTTGATTAGATTGATTGGTTGATTAAATTGATTGGTTGATTAGATTCATTGGTTGGATTGATTGGTTGGTTGGATTGATCAATCCCCCACGATGGAACGGAGGGAGTCCGTCGGGCCAAAGAATGGCGTTACGTTCCGGAAGGCTGGTGAAGAGGATGGCGCACGGTTTGCCATCCTCTTCGGAGAGGAGGTGTCTGGTGTGACTGATGTTGTGGAGGGAGATCATGGCTCGACGATGAAGAAAGAGAAAGGCCTTAAAGTACCCAAGGAGGAGGTGGTCGATACAGACTCAAGGTGGGAAAAGACGAAAGTGCGTGCGGGTTCAGGAGGCAAGGAACACCACAAATGTAAGATTGAGGAAGAGGACATCCTGACCCACGATGATGCAAGCAAGAGGAGGAGGATTGAAGATCGGGACGTGACAGGCGACATCGATGCAGCCAAGGAGGAGTCCAGGGATCGATCTGTGGAGCAATCTGTGAAGAAGGAGGAGGAGAGGGAGGAGAAGGAGAAGAGGGAGGAAAAGTGGGAGAAGGGGGAGAAGAGGGAGGAGGAAGAGGAAGAGGAAGGGGTGACGACGAAGAAGGAGAAGAAGGAGAAGGAGAAGAAGAAGAAGACGGAAAGGAATAGAGGCGGGGAGGCCAACCACCAGGCATCCAGGCTTACAAGTATGTGGAGAAGAAGCTGCAGGGACATAGTGAAGCTCAGAGACGCGCTCATTCCCCGACACGTGTCGCCTGGCTGCGCTGCAGGGCTGATGATCAATGGGCAGACGATGCAGCAGCCGGAGTCGTCGTCAGAAGGCGAGGATGAGGAGTCCAGGGATCGAATCGGATCTGTGGAGCAATCTGTGAAGGAGGAGGAGGAGAGGGAGGAGAAGAGGGAGGAGGAGAAGAGGGAGGAGAAGAATGAGGAGAGGGAGGAGAAAAGGGAGGAGAAGAGGGAGGAGAAGGAGAAGAGGGAGGAGGAGAAGGAGAAGAGGGAGGAGGAGAAGCAGAAGAGGGAGGAGAAGAATGAGGAGAGGGAGGAGAAGAGGGAGGAGAAGAGGGAGGAGAAGGAGAAGAGGGAGGAGGAAGACAAAAGCAACGAGGAAGAGGAAGAGGAAGGGGTGAAGAAGGATGTCCTTTCGCTGAAGTCGGACGATCGTAACTTGCGGAAGAAGCAAGATGATGACGACAACAACAACGAGGACGGAGGCAGAGGGGGTGGTAGTAGCACGCCGCCGGCTATGGCCGAACGACGTGCTCCCGTGAGGAGGAGAGGCCGACCTTCTTCTTCTTCTGCAGCTGCTGTCGAGGATGAGCTATTACTACCTGATGAGGAAAGATGTACGAGATCTGATGGGAGGGCTTGGCGCTGCCGAGAGCCTCGATATGGCAGGAGGAGTTTATGTCAGCGGCATTATGAGCACAGTTCAAGACCAAGACGATCAGGCCGAGAGCGTCGATCTGGCAACGACCCTGACACTACAAGTCCTAAGTCTTTCTGTCCAAATCCAAAGCATTCTGAGCAGCAATCGTCGAAGAAAAAACTATGTCCAAAGCATTCTGAGCAATCGTCGACGAAAAAACTGAAGAAAAAACTAAGTACTACCACGAGGACGAGATCTAACGCGACGAGGCCTTCAAGTTGGCATCGCAGCAGAGAGCTTCGATCTGGCAAGAAGTCTTTGTGTGTGAAACATTATGAGCAGACGTCAACGAATAAACTACTACTATGTTCGAGATCTGACGGGAGGAACTGGCGTTGCCGCGAGCCTTCATATGGCAATCAGTCTTTATGCCAGAAGCATTACGATCAAATTTTGAAGAGACGAGAGTCCGAGTCACTATGTCCGAATGCGGAGAAGGCAGGGGGAACAACTCCAAGGGGCGACCCGGAGGAGGAGGTGAAAGCGTGGAAGAGTCCAGTGTCGTCTGCTGGAAGGAGGTCGGCCAAGGCGAGGGAGGTGGGGGAGGTGGGGGAGGTGGGGGAGGTGAGGGTAGAAGACCCGGGGCGCACGTGGGCAACAAACGCAGCTGATAGCGACCAGGTACAATGTTCGTTCTACATTTGTGGGACGTCAACCACTCCGTGCGAGAGGGACGCTATGCCCGGGCACCGGTTTTGTGCAAAGCATACCCATAAATTTAAGGCTCAAGGTGCTGCTCTGGAATTCGATGCCCTAGTAGATCATCAGGATCTGATTCGTAGAGAAGGGCACAATGTCAATGTCATCGGCCATGAGGAAGAGATCGGCGACTCCCGCCGCCGGCGCGCAATGGGGGATGGTCCCGGTGCTGTGTCGCCCCGTGAGGTGGGAGACGATCGCGGGTTAAGAAAGGAGCAGAGGGAGGGGATCCCGATCAAGAACGACGCCACTGCTGCGCTGCAGAGGGAGGAGAGGAGGACCCCCATTAAGGGGGATGATTCTTTGGTATGATGATGATTTTTTTTTTTTTTTTTTTTTTTTTAAGGGCAACGGCCTTGAGATCTCGTCATTGGACTGACCGGCCCTACGTAATTCAGAATGACTTTATTCTGGTCATCATCTGATTGTACATGCACTCGCTCTTGGGTCTCTATTTCAACAGTTCACGGGTGTACCAACTGAGCTAAGCCCGTTGGTTATGATGATGATTTCACACCAGGAGGGGACGCGTAAAAGAAAAAAAAAGAAAAAAAAGAAAAGAAAAGAAATGAATTGTGTGAACGTGGTGCGTTTGTATGTGGTTTCTTTGCTTGCGTGTGCGCTAAGGGCCAGATCCCACTGGCAAAGAGGATTGGAAAATGTGTGTGTCTGAATCTGGACGTGTTTGTTGCGAGGTGCAGAAAACTGTGATTGATCTGCTTTTCTGCATCTCTACGTGGAACACGTCCAGATTCAGACACTTATTCCAATCGTCCTTGACAGTGGGATCTGGCTCTAAGTCCCGGAACGCGTGGATATGTTAATACAGTATGCATGCTACCGTCTTTCCCCCGAATAGAACGTGTACGGGCATGACAGCGGTATTTGGCTCGCCTTTTAGTCCAGATGCAGCGGCGGAAATTACCGCACGTTCTATTCGGGGGAAGAAGGTAGTTGAGAGTTCGTGTTCGAAAGCACGTTGAAAAAAATATTGGAAAAAAAAAAAAGTTGAGAAAAGTATTTAAAAAAAAGAGGGGAAAAAAAAAGCACACGTACTACGTAGTCGAAGCTTCTCCTTCTTCTTCAATAGCAAACCGTCGTCGCAGCAAGG